CGTAAGAAATAGACAATTGGTAAGCAATCAACATCAAATAAATTTCATTTCTGTTTGTAAAATTTAACCTCCCGCTCACTACATAAATTGGTCTTTTGATAGTTTAATTGACTGTTATACAAGCGATCGTAAAGATCACAAGGATTCCTAAAAGTGACAAAAAAACAAATCTTGTTATATTGACTAGGCCGCTAATTGATCTTTTATGTTGTCGTGTTACATCGTATATGCACCGACAACATTTATTGACGATCTTTTATATTTGGCATACATTTTTCATTAGAAAATAACGAAAATTCTATATTGAATATCTTCCTGTGATGGTAAGAAATTTTGATTATGAAAACAAATAAATCAACATACGTATATCAGCGAGTATATTCTTGAATAAGTTTGTTGATTCATTAGAAATATTTTCTTTTATTCGTGAAGTTTTGATTATTCAGTGTCATTTAAGATGTAAGACACTGAAACTATATGGCATGTACTCTGTCATTCTCATGATATGGATTTGAATCAATTAGTTGATTTTCAGTACTATCATGAAATTTAGCTATTTTTGTTTTCTGTTTAGTTTTTTCATTAGGTTTTGTTTTTCGGTAAATCTAGACAATGTAAGTACATTACTTTTATCTACCATGATATGATCAACATCGAAATAAACTTTCTATTTTAGAAGTAATTAAATAGATTTTCTCCTTGCCTGTTTATCAAGAATAGCTTCGACTCGAAATTCAAGTTCTGCAATTCATCTTTACGCGAATAATATTCAACAGATGTTTTCTTCCAGAAGGTATAAACCATTCTTGGCTATCGTTCTTCCTTTCTTATTCTTATACTAACTAAAATTAATTTTCAAAAGAAAAAGGAGAATTTTAGAAAAAAAATCAGTTTATCTTTTGCAAGATGGTAACGGGTGCGGCAGAATAAATGGGCCTCTCAGTATTTTGATGACATCTCTTTCAATTTTCATTTGGTGAGGCTAATTTTTTTTCAAAAGATTCGCGCTCTAAAGCTCTACAAAACTATATTGTTTTTATTAGCGCAAATAGTTTCCATCGTTTTGACAAAAACGATACAATCGATCGGTAAAGCTAGCACAACTTTCAAAAACAACTGATTCACGAATGTTTTTAAATGATGATTTTATTTGTTGAATCAATGTTGTTTTTGATTGAACTTTGTTCCAATTGATAGTATTGACAAGTTCATCCCAAATTGAATAATCCAAAGGATTCACATCAGGGCTATTTGGAGGCCAACGATCTCGACACCATTGTTGTGTCAAATGATGCGAGTGAGGCTTGGCGCCATCCTGCTGAAAGATCCAGTCGCTACCGAAAACCTGATTCCCTCATTTTAATGCAACAGGAAGCACTTTTTCGATATAAACAGCATGATCGACTGTTCCTTCATCCAGGATCACCAAGGAAGTTACACCCTTGGAACAGGCACCCAATCAAACCATTACTTTCTGTGGGAACTTTCGTTTTTGCTTGATGCCACCATTTTTATCGGCATCAGCACGACCAATTGCCCACACTCGATCATTTTGAGAGTTATAGACACCATCGATGTCAAAAAACTTCTCATCCGAAAAAAGAATCCTCATGGTTTCTTCTTTTCGAAAATTTGTTCGAATCCAGTTTGCAAACTTTTTCCGTTTGATCTTTTGATCATCAGAAAGTAATGGTTCGACAAATTTTTTATAGGGATGCAGCCCTAAATCGCTTTTCAATATTCGCCGAACTCTTGTTTCGGAAATATCGAGCTCCAATGACAGCTTTCGAGCTGATACTCTTTTGTTTCGGCGTAAACGATTTTTTATCTTTCGAATATTTCCTTTCGCTCTGGCCAAACGTGGACAACCTGGTGGACTTGATAGTGTGATAGAGCCCGATTGAAGGATCATTTGGCACCATCGTTTGATTGTTCTTAAACCGATTCCACCATTTAAATCACGAAACATTTTTGTTGGAGTATCACCATTCTGGTACTTTGAAAGTAAAATATTTTGGAGATCTTTACTTTTCATTATATTAAAACGTAAATGTATTATGAATTCACAGATAAAGTGACNGTATCACCATTCTGGTACTTTGAAAGTACAATATTTTGGAGATCTTTACTTTTCATTATATTAAAACGTAAATGTATTATGAATTCACAGATAAAGTGACTAGTTTTGTAGAGCCTGAGACCGGGTTTTTTTTTAAATTAGTCCAATCGGATAGAAATCCGAAGAGATGTCACCAAATACTTAGGGGGCCATTTATTCTGCCGCACTCGTTATTTGAATACACGTTATTTCGCATAGATTCGTACAATTTCGTCATCGCAACATGTATTTGATCAGTAAAGATCATTTACCTCTTGGTAAGTTGTAATAAGTAATTTTACCAGTGGAGATGCACAGTACGAAATCATTTTTTTCTCTAATCTTTATTATACAAGAAGGGTCTCTTCACAAAGGACGTGTAATTCCCATAGAAATGACTTAGAGATGGCGTTTATTTGATCAGCGAATGTAAGTTTCCAATAGTGCTCATGCTTCCATATTATAACTCCAACTACTGACAATATTGATGATTAAGAATACATATGAACTTGTTATTGCATGCAGTCACTAGCTTGTTTTTTTAAATAAAACTCTTGTGAATACGTGCACGTTAGGGAATCAGTGACATAAATGGAAGATTTACCTATTATACATTGGCTTGCCAATATGTTCTACTGTAGTTCCACTTTCATTAGATTTTACAGTACTAATAGAATACACTAAATGATATAGACTCAAACGAGGTTAACCAATAATAGTTCATGTAATTTAGTATATTCGATTGGCACCCAGGAGAATTGCGGTCCATCGGATCTTGTCGGACGGCTTTTAAATCCGTTCATACCCGGTCATCGGATCCGGTCGGGACGTTTCCGCCAGCATCCGATCATATTCGTCATTTTTCTTTCATATTCGGTTACCGGATTCCATCCATTCCGACCGGACTCATGTAGCCAGAACCTATCGGATCCGATGTCCGGATCTCGCCAGATCTGACGTGA